GAGGGAGGGAGGGAGGGAAGGAGGGAAGGAGGGAAGGAGGGAAGGAGGGAAGGAGGGAAGGAAGGACTTATAAAGCCCTAATACAATGACTTTTTACTAGGGCTCTTTAAATAAGAATTTCCTGGAGGTTTAATGGTTTTAAGAGTTGCACAAACCCTGATCGCAACACAAAGACTTACCAGAATTGATTAGTTCCATAGCCACGGAGGGTTGTCCTGTCTCATCCAGAACATCAACAATATACGTATGTTTATACCTGCTGATCTCTTTAAACGTAAGGCTCCTGTACAACACCAAGGACGTGAACCTGTCGGTTGCTTCCCTGCCCCAGATTAAAGATCCCGTAGGCTTACGAACGCCTCCTAAGGAACATATACGGCATTGAGGTTCTAGACCCTTGAACTGATCTGGCATGGTACGCATATTCTGTGCTGCCACAACTTTTTCACCACCAAGGTCAATGAAAACGACCTTGTAGCCTTCTTGTTGAAAGTTTGCCAATACTTTTCCTCGTTGCCAAGTCTTATCTTCGCTATTTTTTACAGCACACATCTCGCCGTAAGAGTATACCTTCTGGACTTCAAACGGAGCAGTACCACAATATATATTGAGGTCGTTATTTAGACTTTCGAACTGTGCAGCAAATTGTGAATCAGAGAGCTTGACGGTAAATTCCCACGGAGATTTGACTGAAGTGATGACACCCTTGAAAGGCAATCCATGAACAACTCCAGTATTTTGCTGCATCCGTGGTTCTGGACTTCTTAACTGAAGATCTACTTCAGAACTGGACTTGGAAGAACTATGTGAAGACGTACTTCTAACTGAAGCAGGGTAAGGAGATTCTTGACCAGATATTGGGCCATCAGTATTATTTTCACTTGTTTTGCAATCTGGATTACTGTGGGTAGGGTTTGAGAGACTCGTGTAGTAAGTCTCTGGAGAAGTCGGCATTTCACTGCAGAAACTTGAGGTTTCTTGATCCGGGGTTTTCATAACATTACCAGCGCCACCACTTGGATTGGCTAAAGGGC